TGCATGCTCTCGAGAAATCATCGGCCATTTTTGGAGGAGCAAACTCCGACGATGCGTGCTTTGTCCTATACGAGAACGCCAATTTATTGTGCATGTTGATGGACTGGACGCCTGAGAACCGTGGCTCGAGCAGCTCGCGGCTCACGCGTTTGTCCCCTCTTGCAGGGATTTCGGCTTCGTTAAACTTGAAATGAGAGGATTTGGCGTTCCCATTCGGCGTACTGAGACATTGTCTTAGCAAGAAAATCAGTCACGTGGTCTGATTTGGTCTGAGTTGCATTCAAATCATGCTGTTGTTGGTAGGAAGCTGGATCCTAATAGTTGAATTCAGAGTAGGGGGCACGAAGGACCATGCAGGACAGACATGTATTTCGTTAATATATTCTGTAAATTAGTAAACGGTGAAGAACGATCTAAACCAGCAGGATAACCAACCCTTTGGACTGCCGATGAAAGGGTAGCAGGTCGAGCTTCGGGTAGGGCACCAGTTGGATCTGGGTGTGACTGGCTGATGACACCTAATGAGCCAGAAATGGCCATTCCAGTGTCCATTGTTTTTTGTCACCAATGCTATCTGCCTAGATGTTATGCATGGGCATTTTGTGAAAATTCAAACTGCTGTATACTTCAATACGTAATCTAAACCCTGCAAAGAATGGGTTGCAGTTTAAAACCCATCAATAAGTTTATTGGATCAAATAAATCCTGCTACTAGTGGCCATTTTTAAACTTCGAATATCGCTTACATCCGTCCTGCTGCTCAGTTGGTGCTGTGTGCAATTATTTGACCTTCATTTTGTTCATTTCAGACAGAGGCAGTTTGACTTCGGCGAAGACCAACCAGAGCAGTCGTGGAAATCCACCCTACTAGGACGTTTTGCGACATCGACATGACAGCGGTCTTCTCATTTTCCCGAAGTGCCTGCCGAAGAAGAAGTTCACTTTCTGCTTCCTACTGTAGACCTACACCGTACTATGCGCAATCATGACATTAGGCTTTTTTGTGGTTTTTTACTGGTACTGACTTAACGTGTTATCTATCCACCGTCCGGTCTCTTTCTATCAGCACCGTGACACTTTTTTGTGCTTGAATACCGATTAAATCGGTCCTCCATGTGTTCTCTTCTTCTTCTCCTCCTCCTCCCCGCGTGCTACGGGACGGTATCGCATGCAGCATGCGCCTAGTGCCAGTTTTCGTAGAGCCTGGTTGGAAGAATTCTATATTTTCCACTCTTGACTGTCTATGGCGGATAATGGCATTTGATGGTATACCGCCAAATATAATCGCCATGATCAAGGCATACTACCGCTCCGCCACTGCGCGGATTTTAGTCTATAACAACTTCTCAGAACCCTTCGCTATTCGGTCTGACATTCGACAAGGCTGTATCCTGTCGCCCATTCTCTTTACGGGGAAAATGACGGTAGTGAGCTTGCACCCGTGCGCCGGTTGACTGATCTCGACGTTGCCGATTATATTGCTTTACTAGCTTCAAGCTTTGGCGCTCTAATGTCTACGGTGTCACGGGTGAACGAGGTCGCGAAATCGGTCAGTTTGTCCATTAATGCTGGGAAGACCGAAGTTTTTTCATGCTGCATCCCTGCCCAAGAGAAAGCACCTCTCGGGATTAGTGGCTGTCAACTTGAAGAAGTCGACAGTTTCAAATACCTCAGAGCGAGGTTGCTGCTGAATGGACAGAGTAAAGGTGACATTGTTTCTCGAATTTATGCAGCAGGACAAGTTTTCTTCAGTCTTCGGAAGTGCCTATGGACCCGACGTGATATCCCTATTTCCACAAAGATCTGCTCATTCCGTGCAACTGTGCGGTCCGTTCTCCTACACGGATGCGAATTTCGAGCTATGCGCGTGGAAGATGAACAGAAGCTGGAACCCTTTGACCACTACAGTTTGAAGAGCATCCTTTGAATGAAGTGCGCTGACTTCGTTTCAAATGAGACAGTCCACACTCGCTGCGACAAAATCACTAGGATATCCCAGGCCATTCAGGAAAGACAACTGAGGTGGTTTGGACACGTCCTTCGTCGTCAACTTCAAGAGCCCAGTGCTACCGCCGTCGACTTGAAACCGTTACGTAATTTGAAACGTCGAAGAGGGGCTCAACTCAACACCTGGCTCGACTCAGACCGTCAGGACGTGGATGTAGTTCCTGGACCTTCGGTATTCGGTCTCCGGCACTGGAGAAGAGACTATGTAGAGCTCTCCAGATCCGCTGCCGCCAATTT